GAATCACTGCAGTTCTTAAGTAAATCTGGCTTCCCCATTGACCTTGCTTTGTCAGAAGCTTGCAAAAGTTGATCACACGGCAACCGTCATAAAGATGAGTCAGTGGCCAAGTGTCTGAATTTTGGTCACATGACCATGGGGGCACTGTAAGTCGATGGCTAGCTGTAATGCCTATTCAAGAAAGCCAAGCTGAGGTCGACAAAAGGGGATCACATGACACCGGGACACAGCAACCGTCATAAATATGAGTGGGTTGCCAAGTGTCCAAATTATGATCAGGTGACCCTGGGGATGCTGCAACAGTCGTAAGTGTGAAAAATGGTGATAAGTCACTGTTTTCAGTGCTGTTGTAACTTAGAACAGTCACTAAACAAACTATTGTAATTTGAGGACTACCTGTAAATCTACTTAAGAACGCTTCTACAAATGATGAAATTAGCTAGTTGGGTAATGAAACGTCTGCAAGAAAACAACCAAGCTCAGAGAGCACCAAGGACCCCAGAGTTCTCCTCCTCCTCCTCCTCCTCCTCCTCCCACACTCCCTTCTAGCACTGATGATGTTCCCTAGTTGAGTAATGAAATGTCTGCAAGAAAACAACCAAGCTCAGAGAACATCAAGGATTCCACAATCCCCCTCCTCCTCCCCCTCCTCTTCCCCCTCCTCCTCCTCCCCCTCCTCCTTCCCTTCCTCCTTCTCCCACCCTCCTCCTCATCTGCCGCAAACCAAACTTCCTTCTAGCATTGAAGATGTTACCTAGCTGGGTCGTGAAACATCTGCAAGAAAACCACCAAGTTCAGAGAGCACCAAGGAGCCCGTCGTTCAACCCTCAGCTACAAATATCCCCTTGTACAGGTAGCCCTCAACTTACAACCATTCATTAAGTGAGGAGGAGGAGAAGGAGGAGAAAAAGTAGAAGGAAGAGGCGGAGGAGGAGGAGAACTGTGGGGTCCTTGGTGCTCTCTGAACGTGGCTTCCTTGCAGACATTTCATGACCCAAGTAGGTAACACCATCCATCTCCTTTTACCTAACTGGGTCACGAAACCTCTGCAAGGAAACAGCCAAACTCAAAGAGCACCAAGGAACCCACAATTCGACAGTGAACTAAAGCAGCCTATTTATACATATTTCTGTACAAACTTTTAGGAGGCAAACGATTAACTAACTAGTTAAGAGCTGCAGTGGCGCAGTGGTTAGACTTCTCACCAGCTCAAGGTTGACTCAGACTTCCATCCTTCCAAGGTCGGTAAAATGAGGATCCAGATTATTGGGGGCAAGAGGCTGACTCTGTAAACCACTGAGAGAGGTCTGTCTGTCTGTCTATCTATCTATATCTGTCATAGTGGCCCAGTGGTTAGAATGCAGTATTGCAGGCTGACTCTGCCCAGTCTGGAGTTCGATCCTGACCGGCTCAAGGTTGACTCAGCCTTCCATCCTTCCGAGGTCGGTAAAATGAGGACCCAGATAATTGGGGGGCGAGCAATATGCTGACTCTATAAACCGCTTAGAGAATCTGTGAAGCGGTATATAAGTCTAAGTGCTATTGCTATTCGCCCTGAATCCAGCAAGGAACAAGAGAAACATAACAGGCGGCTGTATTTAGTTTCAAGTTTCAAGTTTCAAGTTTATTGCATTTATATCCCGCCCTTCTCCTGGTGGACTCAGGGCGGCTTACAGCCAATTAAAAACAGAACAATTGATACAATATACAAAATTAAAACAAATTAAAAGATATATTTAAATAGGCCTTTTCTTATTTTTAAAAGTTGATTAAAAATCCAATAGTAAAATATCCCTAGGCCAGTCCTGCCTGCTGA